TAATTGCTGATATGCTCTTTTTACTTATCATGTGTCATGAATGTGCTAGATATTGACTCTCTAGTCGATAGCCTTATCTCATCGGCAACTTGGCCACACATTTGGAACTGTCTGCACAAACACTGGCATGTTCCACCTTAAATTACTGATCAATCTTGTCTCCTTGTCAATTATAGGGCCAAATTGACTGGCACGCCCTAGGTCACGACCATCTAGTCTGGGGTCCTCCTAAGTCCAGGGAGAGCTTGGGATCTGCTCCACGTGGTTTCTCTTGGCTTGCTGTGTGTTCTCCAGTAGCGGGTCCATCACTTTTTGCCATCCACACATTCTTGGCACGCTTGGTGGGACCACAATTGTCAACATGGACAATGAAGCGATCCTCAAGGTCAACCTTGAAGACTTGCCTAATGACCAGAAGAAACTCATTGAGCAGGCGGCGGAGGAGTTCCGTGAGAAGTGTCTGCTGTCTTATAGCAGGACACGTGATTCTATCGTCTAGAAGACTCCCCTGCCAAGTGTCCTCCTGCATGGACAAAGTGAAGATGTTGAAGCAAGAACTACTGCCCATTTGGTTCACAAGACTGTTCACGAAGCCTTTACAAACCATAATAAGGTGTTGGCCCACACGATTGGTAATGTTTTGAAGGAAGTCTTCTTTGGAGCACCAGTTGATCAAGTGGGCCAGCACACTTCAGTGGCTTTAATCCTTCGGCTGTGGGAAGCAACGTACCTGGTTCTAGTCAGCAGCCGAATGGTGGGCAGTTCCAATAGCCACCAATATAGTAGCTTCTAGGAGGACAAGCTTAAGACCAAATCCTACCAACAACAGGGGGCTAGGTCAAGCCCTACCAATCGTTGGGGGCAAGGTCAGACAATAGGGGGGCAACTCCTAGCATAGCAGTCACCAAATGCCCTTGTCACACAGATGAATCAGCCTACTGGATGAAACCTAGCATATTTAGTCGAGCAGCTAACCTCTCTAGCCACTCAGCTGGTTGCACAACGACTGGCTCAGGAAGATTCAGTACTTCCTATCAAACGCCTAAATCGGCCCATAAAATTGCTCCATCGGTGCAGAGGATCATCAAGAATGTTGATCGTAACTACTTCAATAGTCGACTGCAAGGATATGCGACTCACAATGCTTAGATCAACTATCTAGAAGGATATCACCTAGTTTCTGATGCCAGCATATACGAGCTCATGCCACACCCAGGGTATCAGAATCCTTATAGTTATAATTCGCAACCACCTTAGCAACCTTATGTTCAAGGACAACAGTCTCTGTCTCACGGTTAACAAGTTCAAGTACAAGGCTCTCAAGCTCAGAATCAAGGGCAGCCAAGACAAGAAGTTGCAGGCATGGATGTTGATGAGTTCGTCAATAGAATAACTGCGATGACATAGAGCCAGTTTGGCCTTAAGCCTAAAGGACATGTTGGCTCTTACCAGCACCCATACCTGGCCTGGTATGATATCATGCAACTCCCTCCATGCTACATAATCCTAGATTTCTCCAAATTTACCAAGATAGATGAGATGATAACCATAGAACATATCAGCCGCTATCTTGTTTAGCTCAGAGATGCATCTGTTGAGGAGGCATATAAAGTTAGATTCTTCCCCTTGTCCCTATCTGGACCGGCCTTTAGTTGGTTTTCATCACTTGAGCCAAACTCGATCATTGGATGGGACAATCTAGAGAACAAGTTCCATGCATACTTTTATAGTGGAATAGGAGAGAAGAAGATTACAGACTTAACAAGCATGAGGCAGAGGAATAATGAGTCAGGCTCAGAATTCGTTTAGAGGTTCAAAGAAGTAAGGAGCCGATGCTACTCATTGAATCTATCTAATGGCTAATTGGCTGAATTGCCCCTTCAAGGAATGTCTCCATTAATCAGAGAGAAATTTGATGGCCAAGAGTTTGAGAGTTTGGCCCATCTAGTTCAAAGGGTGTCTGTTTTTGAAAGTCAGCATCGGTCCCTACGTAAAGAGAAATATTTGAAGGGTACCACTACTGTGTCTGATCCATATGATGTAGACTCTGATGAGGATGATCTAGAAGTTGCAGTTGCCAAATGGACATAGGGCAAGGCTCCTGTATCTTGTCCATGGGTGAAGGAGATAGAAAATGCCTATGACTTCAATGTTAGGAAGGCCAATAAGATCTTTGACTTGCTGCTAGAAAAGAAGCAGTTGAGAATACCTGCAAATCATGTGATCCCTTCAGCTGAGGAACTTAAAGGGAAGAAATACTACAAATTTCACAATGCCACTAATCATAACACCAATGAGTGCAGAATCTTCCGCTTACATATTCAGAAGGCCATCGAGCAAGGAAAGATCAAGTTTTAGCCAGCCAAGAAATCAACAATGGACATAGATAAGCATCCTTTCCTAGGGGTGCATATGGTAGAGTTTTAGTTGGCTAAAGGAAAGACAAAGATCTTGACGTCGGCTAAGGCCAAAAATGATGGGTCAGTCGACCCCAAGGTTCAGATATTGGCTAATGAGTACAAGAAAGCTAAATAGCGATGCGATCAGCAAAAGAGCCAATATGAGCAAGGTGAGACATCTACAGCTGGTGCTATATGTCCTCGTGTGATTTCCAGAATCTCATTGAATAAATAGCAATGCCAGAAGGAGAAGGACTACCAGCGTCGGCTTAAAGAAGAAGAATATGAGCGTCGGTGTGAAGAAGAAAGGTATGAAAGAGAACAAGCTGAGTTATATTGGAACTGTCCTTTCTTCAGACACTGCTGGAATGAAGGTTTGAAATTGCCTGCAAGACATAACTGCCCAAAATGCAGTAATCAATATTTGGAGTTCAGGCAATCTCAAGTCAACTGCCAATCTATCCATGAATGTTTAAGTTATCAATCTAACGACATGGATCGACACATAAAAAATAAAGAAGTTCACGATCGACTAGGTAAGCGTGCATATGATCAGAATTTGGCCGGTCGTGATAAAGAGAAAGAGTATGTTTGGTAAGAAGGCCAATGGTGTCCAGGAGGTCTAACAAGTAGCCAAAAAAGAAGAGTTCAACGATTGAGGAATAGAGAGTTAGAGGCTTAGAAAACTACTAGACCCTAGGCATGGTGCGTCAAACAAGCAGCCAACAAGGGTTAACCATCGACTAATATTGATATGGTCTTCATGTTACCTACAGAATTTAGAGCTCCATCTAAATGCAAACAAGAAGAATCTGATGGAGAAGAGTATGATGAAGAAGAATTAGGAGAAGTAGTGGCTCAGCTAGCTCTCCAGTCCCAACAAGCTATATTTGACAAATCATCTCAGCATCGGCACTTGAAGGCTTTATACATGAAAGGATTTGTCTATGGAAAGCCGATGACCAAGATGTTAGTCGATGGAGGTGTTGCGGTCAATTTGATGCCTTATACCACATTCCACAAACTTGGAAAAGGTCCTAGAGATTTGCTCAAGACAGATATGATGCTAAAGGACTTTGGAGGTAATGCATCTAAGATGCGGGGACAGTTAACGTCAAATTAACGATCGGGAGTAAAACTCTGCCTACTACCTTCTTCGCCATCGACGATAAAGGAACGTAAAATTAGCTCCTTGGTTGAGATTGGATCCACGCTAATTGTTGCATTCCTTCAATAATGCACCAATGCCTTATCCAGTGGCAGGGAGGTAATGTTGAGATGGTTCAAGCCGACACCTCTGTAAGTGTGGCAACTACTGATCCAGCCTACTAGGAGTTTGAAGATTATGAGTGCTTCTCTAGTAGAATCTGGGAAGGAGGTGTCATCAAGGTCAATGATGAACGTCAATAGCTGATCCAAGCAATCGGCTCTAAGAGTTTATTTTGATGACTCCTCTAGTTGATCATTATGGAAAGGCTAAACATCGCTCTTATGGATTAATTCGTCAAAATATAGTCGTTCTGTTTCAAGGAGTCAGAGTTGGATTTAAATGCACAACATTTTTAAGAAGCTTGATTGCCAGTGATTTTTGATCTAATACTTGAATCATCGTTGGCTATTTTCTAAGCAATTTTTCATTATGGAATTTTGATACTGGTGATTATAGTTAGCACTCAAGTATGATCGAATTTAGATCATCGCAAGGATTGATAGCTGGTACTAACTAAGTATCACCTTTAGAGGAAAAATTAATGATCCTAATTTGGCCTCAGAAGGCAAAAGCCGGTGCAACATGCATCGCCTATAGTGCAAAAATGAAAAGAAAAATACAAATCATATGGAGAAAGTGTTAGTGGCAAAACATTCACACAGGATCAAATGGGGAGACAGATTCAGAAGAAGTCCACCAAAGTTTTTATTCTTGACCCTAAATACAGACTACGGGCTGAAGAAAACATTGTTCACAACTCCTTCGGCTGAGGAAGTATTCACCGCAGCATTAGCATGCCCGGTGAAGTCCTCCACCAACTCCTGATAATCGTCGAGGGTCTCGCCGTCTGGGTAGCCAGGCTGCAGCTGACGGAGATCATGGCCCTAGCACGTCTGGGCTATAACTAGAGTAACGGTGGCTCCGTGACAAATACCATGAAGGGCCACCTCCCTAGCATAGACGGGGATGTCCTCAAGGTAGGCCTCCAGCATGTCACCCCGAGCCTTTAGGGTGTCGGTAGCGTCATTCGCCGCCAACTGGAGGGCTTCCAGTTGCTGCATCAAAACTGTAATAAAAACAGAGTTATCGAGAAAAGCCTAGCAAGACAAGATTATCAAAAGAACATAGGTTTCTCCTAAAAATCTCACCCATGACCCTGGCATCAGACTCTGCCAGTCACGCCCGGGCGGTGCTGCTCTCCTTCTCTACGGTAGCAAAGGCAATTTGGGAGGCGGTCAAGGTGGCCTCCAGACGCTCAGTTTCTTGGGTCACCTCCCAATGATGACCCAACGTCTCATCCCATTCATGAAGAACGTCGGGCGTCGTCTCCATTATATGAGTATGTGGAATCGATCGAACAAGGCGCTGGTGCCAAAGGCTGGGACTCAAACCTCACCAGCAAGTTTTGGATGCCGGCCCGAGTGACGTTCCTGCAAAACAAAATTACCAAGTTTAGATGGTTATCAGAAGGTCAGGAATGCAATTCCAACATACCCTTGGATGCGGAGGCGCTGGCATGGAGTGAGATCCTCTTCTAGAATGTCGCCAGCAGGGCGCTTGCCGTCCGCCATTGCTCTTGGCTAGAATTGGGTTTTCTGATCTAAGGATGAAGGAGGAGTTGTGCAGTGGTAGGAGCGAATGCGAGCACAGTTAATAAAAAGGCGAAAGGTTGTTCCAAGAATCGCGAGGCCACGCGTGGCCAAATGGGGTAGCAGTAGTTGTGGAGATCACGGACGCAAGGAATTTCCATTTTATTGGGATTTTCTACATTTTGGTTCGGTTTCGGGCTATGAATTTGAAAATTAATTCATTGTAGTTCTGTGTTACAATCTGAGTCGGAAGACTGGCTCGAAGGATTAATCGGTTGAAGACGGTTGCAAGAAGCCAGTTTTGGAGTCTTGGAAGGGTCGTTGAGAGTCGATCGCTAGATAGTGGAGGATTTATACAAGACAGACAAATGCATCAGCTAAACATTTGCACCAAATGTCATAGACTAGATATGCATGAGAGCTGCAAGTTACAAGTTCAAGACCGCACAGATTGCGTTCAGAGCATCTAAGAATGACGCCGGTTATTGCAATTGCATCGTCACTCAAAGTTCCAGATTGCAGGTTTAGAAGAAATTTGCTCGATGTGGTTTTGTGATTCGCACTTGACCCTAGACGATCTGACCCTAGAAACATAGTCGACTCGGTTCAATTGACTGTTTTCATATCAGCTAAAGGACCTAAGTTTGAAGTTCTCTAATCGACTCTTTGGTTATCAACTTAGAAGCTATCATTGAAGGAAATTGGTGACAATGAAAAAGAATGTTCAGAGCCAAAGCATGGAGAACAGGTGCAAAAGAAGATTTTGTTTATTTATAAAGCATAACCCCTAGTTACAAACTAAGGGCCGAGGAAGACGTTGTTCATGACCTCCTCGGCCGAGGTTATGTCCGCCACAGCATCATCGGCCCCCTTGAAGTCCTCCACCAGGTCCTAGTAGTCATCGAGTCCTCACCCTCAGGGAGGATAGGATACACCAAGCGGAGGGCATGCCCCGAATGCACCTAGGCTATTGCCAAGTCGACGGTGGCACCACGACAGATGCCATGAAGGGCCACCTCCCTGGCGCACACGAGGGCGTCTTGGAAGTGATCCTCCATAGTGTCGCCCTGTGCATTTAGGGCACCAGTGGCATCGCTCACCGCCAATTGGAGGGCTTCTAGTTGCGCCGTCAGGGCTAAAAACGAAAAGAACGCAAGAAAACAGTAGAAGATCGGCAAGACGGAAGCATCAAAGTAATCAAAGATCTTTGAAGATCTTAACGGCAACCCTGGCGTCTGACTCCGCTAGTTGCACTCAGACCACATTAGCCTTCATCTTTGCCTCCATAGTGGAGAGAGAATCTTGGGAGGCGTTTAGGCAAACTCTATTTGCCTGTTCCACCGAGTCGCCTCGGAATAGCGGTTGATCGCCGCATTGCACTCGTGGTGAAAGTGTCGCACGTCGTCTCCATTGTAGGAGTCGATAGAGTTGGAGGAGGAAGCCACTTGTGCCACCGAGTGGGCATCATAGACGGCACCAGGGTGATCACCATTGCAGAATCAAATGGATCAGCAAAAGAAGGCAAAAGATCGAGGATAGATTCGGTTTTAGCCCTGAAAGTGGAGGCGTCGACAGGGAGGAAGATTTTCCTCTAGGAGATCACTAGCAACGCACTTGTCATGGTCCATGCTTCTCTGGATGCGCTTTTTGGATCTAAGAACAAGAGGAGGAGAAGTTACACAATGACAAGAGGAGAGGTAGGAGCAGGTGTGATCCCTCGGCTATCCTTTGGGGGGTATTTATAACCAGAATAGAATGTTGATGGATCTTTTGAGCCAAGAAAAAAAAAAAATTCAATTTATGGAAGACGGAGGGCCATCTTGAGTATTGAGGAAACCATGCGTGGCCTAATGAGAAGGCAGCAGTTGCAGGAGCAGCGGATTTGAAAATTTCATTCATCAAGATTATTTACAGTTTCATTCAAATCCACGATGTGGACGTGAAATGTTATCCGCTGTAGTTTTGTGTTTTCATGCGCGTCTAGAAGCAGGCCCTAGAATTGATCAGCTAAAGTTCAGTCGGTTAGCTAATGGACCAAGCTCGAAAAGTGATAAATCCAAAAAGACGATCACTGGTGCAGCGGTCGATAATGGTAGAAGGACTTGTGTCCAAGAAGAACAATTATCAGCCAGACTCAAGGAATGACAAAGGATCGGCTATGAGCATGAGTTGGAAGAGAAGGGTGGCTCAAAAGGTTAAAAGGATGATCATCATCGGGTGACCAAACGTCATGATCTTTGATATATCCTTGATCGAGAAGGGCCAATGGGATAGATCTGCAAGGAGGACAAAGAAGTTAGCATGGGATCAGAGCAGATGGCTAGAAGTGCGACGCATGCAATGGTCATAAGAAGTAATTTTGGGACAAAATCATTTTATCCCAAAATTGGGGGGCATGTGTTGGCACCAAAATTTGGTTCGAGATAAGAAGGCCATAAGGTCAGAAACTTATCAAGGGAAAGCCAAGATATTAAGCAAGATCGGCTAACTATATTGCCATCAATTGGATTAGATGACATCATCAATTCAAGGGAATAGGCCCCATTGGCAGGAATGACAAGATATGAAGCGAGAAGTCACGTCAGACTTCATAGAAGGGAAAGATTGAGGTCCAAGTTATCATAATTTAGAAAGCTTTGTTTCTTTTCCAAGTTTTGTATCCAATCTTGTTTGGCTAGGACTCATAGTCAAGCCTTGGGTACAAATATTGAACCCCGGCTATTGTAACAGACATCTCAGTGATCAATCAACAAACAATACCTTTACCTTTTGGCTTACGCCACCCCCTAGGAGTAGGAGTAGAGTAGATCTTGGCGAGTTCTTCGGCAAGCAAGGCTGCCATCGATTAAGTTTGACCTCCAGTTTGTCTGTGAGTATCCATCATGACTTATATTTTGTTTGTAAGGCTGTCCTCGGTTAAGTCTAATCTCTTGCAAATACGGTATAAGTTAGTTATCATCGGTTAATTGTAAGGTTGCATCGGTCCGGCTCAGATCTCTTACAATTATCTGATACAAATTGCCCTTGATTCTTATCAAAATTTGTATGGTTGCATCAATCCGGCTCGTATCTCGTACAAATTTTGATATGGATTAGTTATCGGTGTTGGTATTTCTTAACGCATATAGAAATAATCCGCAAGCGCACGAAATTACCGTTGTAGCATTTCACACATAAGTATTTAGGGTATCGTATTTCCTCAGGGAACGGATGTGTAAGAGTCTCTTAACTAGTTTACCTAAGATAACAAGAAGAAAGATAGCTCGGGTAGCGAGGTTTTCTAGGGATAGAGATCCTAAGCTAAGATAGCTTTGCCACTATATACTTACTTCAGGCACTGGATCACCCCTGGTCTGCCAGGAGAGGCCAGCCTGTAGCCTACATCGAACCCGGATGTGGGGGAATACGAGGGACGAATAGGGCTGTCATCACCTGCCGCCTACCCCTCAACCGTGGGGAACAAAGTAAACGAAGGTAGCCTCTAGCCTAGACACCACATCTACGCTATCGACTACTACTGTAGCACCATACAGGGTTATCATCTTCATCAGGAGCCCTCTACTAGAGTATCCACTATGAGAATGGACGACGAACCTGTAAGTAAATAGTAAACAAGACCAACTTAAAGTAGAACTCACCATCAAAGATAAACACGAACCTCTGCACTCCAAATAGTACTAGATTCACCGAGGTACAAGTGAAGAGAGGGAGCCGGCATTCCCGGCATTCCTTCTGCTATGTGTACAAGGGGCCCCAAGTACACAAATGGAGGTAGCCAACAATTCCGGTACTTCTCCATCTCTTTTCCTTCCTCACTCACTCCCTAAACTAAGCCAAAGAGCTAAGATATGAAAGTGGAGCTCCTCCTCTTCTTGCTACATTGTGTATCTTGTGTTCTGTGCTTCCCAAGTGTGTTGTAGAGGGAGGATAGCCCCTCTATTTATACACGAAGGAGAGGTGGTGGTGTGGCTATTCCTAGCGCGAAGTCCATGCACCACCGCCTTCTGCATGGAGGCATGCAACCGCCACATGAAGGAGAGGACGAGCGGCGCCAGGTGGGGGCGGCCGACCCCAGGGGGCAGCCAGTCCTTGACTGGCACCCATCACCACCGTGTTCGCATGGTGGGTCAGTGAGTGCTCCTAGGTAGCTCCTTAGGTGGTATTCTGCATAGATATCTTAAATTGATGGACCTTTCTATTTATTCTTTGTGCAATTCAGCGCTGGAAAGCGTCTTTTGATGTATTCTCCCATGTATTTGTGTATATGTCCTACAAAAACAATAACCTTCCAAATACATGTGAAACTAGGTCAGTGGTAAATGTATATGTGTTTAAGTTTGTTAATTTCTCCCCTTTTATGCCTTAATTGGTAGTCGGATTTGGTCGTTAAGGACTGCCAACAATCAGCTAGATCTATTAAGATTGGTAGGGTTTCCTTGCTGTTTTTAATAGATTTGCTAGTTATCAATTTTGTTATAGTTAGTTTCTTACTATTTGTAACAAAATCACCCCTTGCCCAATTAATATTGAAATGGATCAGCTTTATATCTCTTTTGATCATCGTCTTGTTACTTTTACCGGTTTACATCTTGTTGTGATGATGGTTTCGATTAGCTTAGCCATTTTGATCCAGTCTTGATTGAAGATAGCATGTGGTCAGGATGTGTTTAACCCAAAGTAAAGCTTGCAAGTTAATGAAATTTAGTCTAGAACTGCTATTATGGCTGCCATCGGTCTGGTCGACCCCCACTGTTAGCACTATAGATCGGAGATCGTTAAATAGCAAGTCTTGTTTATGGTCAAGCGTGGCCTCTGGCTACATGCTATGTCCGCATCGGCTATTTAGTCGATCGCCTATGCTCCCACGATCATAGCATGCTTTCATGATTCCATTAAGTGCGTATAGATTCGTATGCTTTGAGGGTTTAATCTGTTATCTCTATCACGGTTGCATCGGTCCGGCTCATATCCCCACTGTTAGA